CACGAAAATCTGGTTCGCTCCGAAGGATTTTATATTATTATTATTATTTTCCCAAATAGGACAAAACGTGTAACGCCAAAACAACGTTCTAAACGGTCTAGAAACACATCTTGTATAATGTATTCACAAAATGTAATTATTTCGACGTGGAGTCATCGGAGGTACAAGCGTATATCTATATTATAAAAATTATATATATATATATATAATATAATATTTTAATTCAGCCGAAGTCTCTTTTAAAAACTAATGCGTAGTCACCGAATGTCTTAAATTATTCAGGTGTCAGACATATTTTACAATTTAGTTTCAGGCACGCAGAGATTGAAAGTCTTTTTGTACCGAATACAATAATACTTGTGATATGCAAAAAACCTTCGTTAAAATACGAAACGCCGTCGAAAAAATCTGTTGTACATAAATTTCGGTCGAAGTGTTTTTGCTACATAAATTGTTGGAGTTTTTTGTTGTTTTTTTGAGAACGACTGTGTTGGAAAATTATGTTATTCGTTTAGAGATGGTTATCTTAGCGTAAACGTCCGTCGACCTGAAGTAATAGTCAGTTGTCACAACTGTATTGATAATAATATACGAATTGATGCAGTTTACGTCATAATGCAGCTGCATGCACTTGATGTGGGGGAGGGGGTGATTGATATTTATTCTAGTATATAAAATTATATCACATATTATACTTATTGTGCTCAAGGGTGCAGATTGTATATTTCTTGTTATAATTTTAAAAAAAAGTATACAAAGTATACATATACGCCTATTTAAATATTTTACAGGACTCGCGGGGGTTCCGAATTCTATAGATATATGCGTTACCTTCGTATTAGGTATTATTTTTTTTACTCTGAAAAAAAGATTTCTGACAGCCAAGCAGCGTAGAATATCACCTTCCAATACTTTTGTTGTTTTTTCTATCAATCATCGTCCAATATTGTGTCCAACGTCGCGCCTTAGAGTGAGAGTGAGTGATTACAGTTAGTAGAGACATTATAATTTCGGAAGAGGATTTGTTTATGAAAATGCTCGCTTCGCTATTTTAAGATCACTGCTTGTCTTGAAACGCTGTGGGTGTTTCATTTACATATTATATGCGTAACTTTAACTGCGCCTGGACCAGGACCGGTAACCAAAAAAAAAAAAAAAGTGTAAAAAATACAATTATATAAATACGTATAATATAACCTATCATAGATACACATAATATTATCGCCGTCGTCGTCATCGCGTTGGGACGGTTTTCATATTCAATTAGATACCCTTATTATTAATGATATTATGGCCAACGCGAATAATCATTCATTTTATCAGTTTATATATACAATATTATTTTTTTTGCTCGCGATTGAAAACGAATCTCAATTATTTGAAGGCATATATTATTCGTTTATTACGTCTACAATATGCATCCGTGTGAGCTGGCTGATAGGCTCGGTTCTATATTATAAAATAATAATATAATTATAATGAAGCGATGATTAAAATCAATAAAAAATTTAATAATTCTGGCCAACTGCGTGGCGTTGTCATTATAAATATGCATAATAATATGATGAATGCTTTAAACTAACCGCTGCGGCGTGTGTAATATTGTCTATAGGTACTTGTAAAACATATGTTTTGCGTCTCCCACCTACTCGCATGTATGTCGTATATATTTATATACTTACATTCAATGGATGCGTAGAACTATATAGAAACTATATGTCTATAGTTTAACCATGGAGGTTTTCAACGTTGGTTTCCGAACGTTCGATCAATACAAAGTTTTGTACTATAATATCATTATGATTAATAATTATTGTGACTTGTGAGTATTTATGACACGCGTGTGTCGACGAGATTCGTGTCATCGAATCGTTAAAAAACACCCGTTTTCTTAACAAACCAATTTTGTATCACTTGAAAAGTTTTTCGGTAAAAATAATAATCATATAGGCATGGTTAAATAATATACCTGCTTGTAGTACTAATTCTTTAATACAGTATATTATATTATGTGCCAATATTGGTATTGTTTAAAGCGCTTTACATAATATTAGATTTGCTATTGTTTCTTCTTCCAAGTGACTATTTTAAATCATTATGCAACAAAAACGTGTCTATGTTTATAACAACATGTGTAATTACAACATCTTCCTTACGGATGAAAAAATAAATAAAGTCTGAAACACATATTATATAGTATTGCATACATAATTACATTTACCGTACTTACACGTGTATCAAACGCTAGGTAAAATTATCATTTAAATAATATACATAATTTTATTCCGTGTAACGAGTTCCTCATGAATATCGAATGACTTAATTTTTTTTTTTTTTAATTTGAGCTTTGTGAAACGAAAATGTCTAGAGAACAAAAATAATATCTATATCTATTATATTCTACCTACTTATCGATATTGGTTTCGTGGCATATATTGACTCGGTGCTGACTGCTATCGTATGTGTTGCCTCATTAACAGAAGTAGGTATTACCTACGGTTGTTATTTAAATTTAAAGTGTGAAAGATGCAATTTTTTTTATTTTATGTTTTTATTGGGAGTACTGCAGTTATCCTATTATTATTACGTATATAATGTTCTCCATGGGTTATCGACGTGTATTGACAGGTATAACATTGGATATTGCTATTATACATTTATAGTTACAACAACTTACTGGTGTTATCAGCGCTTCGTACACGTGAATCGTGAATGTTCAATTATTATTATTATTGTATACGAGATAAATTTCGACAAAACGATGATAATCGAAATACATTATACGTTGCACGATTTCGTTGCCGGTAGGTGAGCGCTCGCAATGGTGGTCACTCTGTGTAACAGCTGTCGACTGGTCTAGTCTAGACTTGAATAATATTATTCAGTTGCGTGCTAGCTGCCAGTTAATTTTTTTTAAGTTTCGTGTGATCTCTCGTACACTTTTAAAACGAATAGCATTAGTTTTGTTTTTAATAATAGATCTAAAGTTTAAATTCCTATTAGTAGTACAAACGTTTAAATTCATTTTATTGGAATTTTTATCACTATTATTTTAATTAAAATTATTATTTTACTTTTATAAGTTTTACTATATCTGAGGTAAATCTAATTGAAACATTATTAACATTTATATTTAACTTCATTACATTTTGGTTTGCTCTCTCGCCAAATTTAAACTAATTTTTAATTTAATTTGTGTTTATATTGTGTTAGAACGGTTTTTCGAACGAACATTAATTAATTCTTCTCATCTATTTTTGCGTAAACGCATGTCTTTTTATGGATAATATCAACCAATTTAACATTTTTGGTCGTGTCTATCTACTAACTCTTTAATAGTAAAAAGAAATTATTTTCGCAGAATGACGTAATAATGCTTTAGAATTAAACCGGTATCATCGTTCTATTAAGTGTATTCAGTACGCATAATAAAACAAACCATTTAGAAGATAAAATAATTGTTTAATTTATTTTTTTATTTTTTTATATGACATAACTTATAAGCTATAATATAATATATTAAACATAAAATTATCTTTTCTTTAATATATTACAGTAAAAACTACTGTATAAATTGTTATCATCATAAATACGTTATTTTCTTTCAATATTTTAGTTTTTATTTTACACCTACTCCTGCACATGTAATAAGTACGTTAATATGCCAATTGTACATATTTATTTGTGTGGTATTTGGCTCTCGGTTCGGGTGAAGTAGTGTGTGCGGGAATGTGGTCCGAATTGTAAAGCCGGTAGTTTAGCTATTTCAACTCGTAAAATTATTTTCTGTTAATTAGTGAAATCATTTCTTGTTTTTTTGTATTTTGTCATCATCGTAGTCGTCATTCGAAAGCCTTATGGTTTGAATTTGTGTTTAGCAATTCGTGTTCATGTAAATGTCAGCAGTTAACAGTTCGTTGACCCAGTCGAACATAGATTATTCCTATTATTGTTATTATTATTATTATATTAAATTAATACACTTAAACGTCTTAAACGCGCATTACAATGTGCATTTAGGCATAAAAAATATCTAGTTAATGTTAACGTATTGAAGCTTTATTATAGTTGTTGCGAAATAAATAACCTAGGAGGTACCTATGGTTTCCCATAAAGTATGAATGAAATTGTTTATTTTTAATGCCGATTAAACGCGTAATGATGAGCAGGGAATTAATTCTCTTAGATTGATATATGAATAACTATTTGCAGAACTGCCTTAAAAATAAATACAAATAATTATTTCTTTTAGCATAATAACGTGAAATAGTAATAGTAAAAAATACTGCTGTCGTGTGTTAATTCGATCCAAAATTGATAATTAGGCACGTAAAATTTACAAACATAATATTATATATTGTGTATAACTCTATATAGTGATTATATTATCATCGCGTTGATTATTCGTATAAGTATATACTACAAGAGGGAAATTAAAACGGCGTCGCTACTATTATAGTCTATAGGTATCTACTGATAACGAAACGGTGCACCGAATAGTGATATAAGGTTACCGAACGGCCTTGAACTTTTCCATTGCAAAAGCTTTGCCGAAATCTGCCGAGAGCACGAGACACTCCGTCGCAATATAAATACACACACACACACGGGCTCACTACACATGTTATACGCGGTACATTTTAGTTGTACCCGACGTACATGTTTCGGACGCCTGATTTGCATTATCCTATATAGGTACACTGTACTGTCGTGTTACCTCTGCAATTTTATTTTTTATTTTCTTACCGTGAACTTCTTACCACGATGGCAATCGAAAATAAACGTCCCAATTGGCACATTCTTGTCGGCCGCCAGTTGCCAAGTAGGAGAGGAAAAAAAAGAAGACAATTAGAGCGAAATAAAATAAAATGTAAACCGATAACGTGAAATAAAAAAAATACTAATAATAAATACCAAAAAGATAATATCGCATGTATTCAAAAATCGAAAATATGCATAAGTATTGTTTTTAAAGGTTCGATTTATTTATGTTTTTGCAGTGGTGTGGAACACGGTGACGAGATATATTCACTTTGCCAGTTGTCACCAGTCGTCAGTAAGCTCGCCGTCGAGGACAAACCGTCGTCACTTCCACCGTCTCCGCAGCAACAACAGAAACAGCAACCAGCTGTCGTCAAGAGACCGTCGTCCACGGAAAAAGTGTTCAAGCCCAAGTGCCTGGTGGACTCGGCAACGTTCTTGTTACCGGCCGGAAATGGGCCAGTTTATTTGGATGTGAACAGCGACGGGAAACCGAGAACCGCACCGCAGCCAACCACGTCGACGGCCAGCGTCATCAAGAAGAAGCCCAAACCGTGTTCGGAAAGCCCGAAAGCCACCACAGCCAAAATTTTCGCCCCACGGACCGAAGACATGAACAAAGGGTTCCTGACGTTTTCGGACGACGACACGGGACTGACTAGTGAGTGTATACCATTGTCAGCTTCTGTTTGTATATTACGCTGAAACCTCTAAATACCATCGGACACTTTCGGTTGCTGAAATTTTCTCCGCCATTCACAGAGGTGTCCTTTTGCTGTGAAGATTTCTTTGTATATTTATATATAATTTTGTTACAACGCTTTGTCTTATAAGGATACGTTATATGCTATAAAGCTATGCATTTTATCGCTATTTTTTGGTTTTTAGTGCTCAAAGACGAACCGGAAGACTTGACTCACTTGGCCCCAACGGCCGGTGACGTGTGCGTGCCGCTGGACACTTGTGGTCTCGGGCACCTGGGTCTGTTCATGTCCGATGTGCTCGACGACCTCATACTCACCGACTGTTCGTTGGCGCCGTTCGACTCTATGCCAGCACCGCCATCGTTGCAAGACGCGTACTCTTCAGCCTCCCGGTCTTCACCGTCGATGCACCACCTACACCACCATCACCTCCACCACGGCAGCGACGACCTGTCGCAGCACGCCGTTGCCGACATGTGCGACCCTACCATGTCCTCGCTGCTGGGTATGGACTTGGACAACAGCCCCAACGACTTGGATCTGGACCTGTCGCTCAAAAACCAGTTCATACCCCTGTATGAGGACGACCTATACCCACTGTTGTCGGACGACCTGCTGTGGGGAAGCGGCGATAGGTCGCCGTCACCCAAACCACCATCTGCCGTGACCAACCACCAAGACACCAGCAACAACAATAATTGGTGAGCGACGCACGAGTTATCGGCGAAAATACAGGGGAAATCTTATTTTGTGGTTGAAACTCATGATTTAGGGGGTGTTGTACTGTCGACGGTAGTTTTTATGATGAACACACAGTCTTATAATCGTTCTGTGTATCTTTTTCGTATAGGCATTTGCCGTCGACGGAAGACATCGTCGGGCAAGACGTAATCGACAGTGACGCGCCGCCGTCTCCGAGTCTAGCCAAGTTACTGCAGAAGACCGACACGGATGCGCTGCCTTGCAGACAGCAGCATTTCGACAGCGGTGGTGGCCTCCTGCACTTGGACGGCGGCGACTCGTGGGGATCGATCAGCAAAATGTTGCACCAGCGGTACAACTCGGGTGGTTCTCCCCCGGCCGAACCAACCGCTCTGGCAGGTAAGGGTTTCGTCATTGGAAGCGTGCTTGTTGTCATACTATTTAAACAACACATTCGCATATTTCGTCAATATTGCTTTGTGGTGTTACAATGCGCTAATCGTTTCGGGCTATTGTGTTTTTGTTTCGCAGATCACCGTCACAACCATAACAACTCTATGCGACTACAACAACAACAACAATCAGACTGCAACGTGTCGACGGCGGGAGTTGCTCGAACCAACGGCGTCGGTGTCAAACGAACCGGGCCTAACGCCACCGCCGCCACGGCGCCGTCGTCGTGGAAACGGTGCCGGCAAGAAGAGACGGCCAAACAGGGCGCATCCAATAGCGTGCTGATGAACTTGTTGGTCAGCGGTTGCGACGTGAGTGCCGGTTACGTGTGTTTCACGTCACCCAAGTCGAAAAACTCTGCAACGGCCGCGGTCGCGTCCGTCGCGTCCCAACAGCGTCATTCGCGTTTTTACGAACAGCAGCAACGGCGCAACGTGACGGCAAAGTGATGATCGCGTATATAGTGGACTTGAGCGGGCGCGCGGACGTGTCGTTAAAATATTATCGTAGGCGCAGCAAACGGCTCGGTTGGGGTACCAAAGTGTTCCCATCCTCCAGTGATATGATTTTATTAAAATTATATCGGTACATGCTCAGTACCAAGTATCGGTACCAACTTTTCCAGTCGGCCGAATTCCCGGAGAGATCAGCAGCAGTCCCCTCCCGTTTCCTACCTCTATTTGCGCCAACGATGTAGTATTAAACGGCACGTGTGTTGCGCCCGGTAGGAGTAGGATATTATTTCGAAGATTCTCGTAATTTTAAACTTACTATCTACCCCCCCCCTGCTGATAAAGGTGCACTCTGTACATAATAATATATAGGTATAATACGTGAAGACGTGTGCGCGTTCGCGTGATCGATCCCGTACCAGTCCTTCTAACCGGTGATGCGATATGGTTTAGATACGAACTTTAGATATGTGTATATTGTTGATTATATTGTATAACATGAGAGCAATACTCGTGCACGCTTGTTCTTCCGCGTTTGTACAGGTAAAAACACCCGTGTTCGTCGTTCAGGTGTTAGAGATGCGTCGCGGAGGAGGTGCAGCGAAAACGGCCACGATTTTCGTTGGGGTCATGTGGCCCGTTTTTGGCCGGGGATTATATTATCATAGTATAGTTAGTATATACACGACACGTGCAATACAATGCATATAATATAACAACGATAATAAATATAACAATAATACACCACATTTGTTGATTCTTATATGCGTATATTATATTATACTCTAATACATTATCGGTTGTATTATACTCCTTTATAGTCATTCTACCATAGTATATGATATTATAATAAATGTTATATTATTATGATTATGTACCTATATTTTACGTTAGGCGACTGACATTTTCAGATCCTGTGGTGGTGCAACCGTCAACGACTGTGAATTGTTTACTGTTTATTATTATTTGTTTATTATACACACACACACATATATATATATATATATATATATATAATTTATGCTATATGAAATATATAGTTAATAATATTTTATTTTGTTTTAGAAATAATTTTGTCTATATAATAAATAAAAAAACATTTTGGTTTTTATTGCTCTCTTGATCCTTTCATTAGTAGTAGTAATAGTAGTAGTAGTAGTCATCGAAGTGGTGGCTAAACTGTGTACCTCTTTGACTCTGCATGGACAACGTCTCTAAAACGTGTATCGTTTTTTCCTGTACGATGAAAATGAAAATATATGAGTAAAATCTGTTGATTTTCTAAAGGCTGTTATGACGCGACACATGGCTGAAACATCGGCAAGTGCCGTAGTCGAATATCAGATTATTTTGGTCGAACGTGATCAACCTTTATTATTATTATACGACTTTCTTCGTCAATGTAAAAAATCGATTTTATTAAAAATAATAATCATTCGGGGACCGTGTCGGATATTCAAAGAATTACGAAAATTTAAAATTAAACTGGTCCGTCTGTGTCGAAAGCTTTAACCCCCCTAAACCTATACTTATAGTTTTATGAAAATTCGAGTACCTGTATACTCGCCCCGAATTATCGGATCCGAGGCGACGGCCCTTGAGAGAACGCTTCGTCGTTCAGGGATATCCAGATTCGTATACTATTTTATCGTCCCATTATAAACACTTGACGTTATCGTATTCGTCGCCAAAAAGACCAACCGCTCAGGTGTACAACGATGTAACTAAACGTTAATATTGGTATTTAAAGCGAACAGAAATTCGAGTGGCGGCGAAACGGTTTCGTTTGAACCTGCTGGATATAGACACTATAATGTCAAAGAGGGTCACCACCACCGCACGCTGTGATAGGTGTTAAGAAAGAATACGCGTAAATGGTTAAAGACAGAGTACGCGTGAGAGAGTGAGAACGTAATATGCGATATCGCTTTGTTGTCTTAATAGGAGGGAGTGCAATGCCTCTCTTAGGTCAGTCGTATTCGATTTACAACCCTCGAATATGATGATCAAACCGTTGTCTGGATTTCATTCGCGCAGGGTTAAGGCGTTTGAGTATTCGTGACCTATTTTGAAACTGTCGATACTCTCGTTCTCGATCGTCGTATCACGAGCATTTTCTTTTTAGCGATTAGTTTGAGAAAATATGTTCGATAAATCTTTATAGCTGAGCGCGTCGTAGATTATCATTAGATACGTGTCGACGATTGCGCCGCAGAGTGGACATCCAACTTCCCTCCCTACCCCCTCTTACGATTATTATTATTATTATTTATGTTCTGTTACTGCCGATGGACGTTAACGTATTTTTTTTTTTTGTGTGTGTGTGCCGGTATAGGACGACGCTGGAAAATCGATGGATGGCAAGAACTCGATTGTGAAAGATGATTCACAGCCTAGGCACCGATCAAGGCTAAAGGCGATTTCGTGTCTGTTGGACCCGTTCAGCACGGCCATACCGTCGCTGATGGACCTGACCGAGCACGACTACGACGTTAATGCGCCGGCGGGCGGAGCGCTGCTCCAGGGATCGGAACTCCTGAAGGCCCTGGAAATCGGAGGAGGAGGAGGTGGTGGTAACATGGCCGCGGCATAGATTCTGGAAGATTAGGAGCAGGAGTAAGAGCAGTAGAAAAATATAAACGAGTTTTCCGAGCTGTAATCGATATACAATCTGCGTATATCACACATACGTATATTATTTAGTACCAATCATATCCGTACACAAAACTCAAATGTCATACTACCATTCTGCTATCCATTAATTTTATAATATTATCATGATAATATTTCACTCTATGTCATTTTAATTTTTGTTGTTTTTTTAATTTTTAATCGCTCGTCAACAATAATATAAATAATAATAATAATTTAATTGTTTTGTACAACGGTTGTGCGCAGGATAGAGCAGAGGAGGACAATCTGTTCGAAGTCTTATCTCATGATAACTACAAATACACATCGTAGCGTGGCTCAGGGCTTGAACTCATTAGAGTCCGATTCCTTTCGAAAAACCGTCGCGATGAACGAATTACGTCAATTATTATTTTTGTCTTTATCTGTTGTCCTGCCCGACATAAATCGCGCATATAATATAACTGTTCGCCGTTATTGTTGTAATTATGCTCCCCCGTACAAAAAAAATAAATGTATGCCCTCGAAATGTACGTCCCTCATCTCTGCTCCGAGTCTTCTTATTCACATAACATAAAAACTATATATTATGATATCATATTCTTACACATTAATCTCTTCCAATATTTTGTTTGCGTTTACCATCGCTTGCTGTGTACCACTTAGTTTTTAACTTATTGATTTTTTTTTCGATTTTATGTTTAGCGAAAAATATTACGCACTGCCCACGAATAGCGCTGGTTTCGGGATAATGTGCTCAACCCCGCGAAAACGATTTTTATTTGGTTATCATTATATTATATGTACTGCATTTTCCCAGAGAGTATACCGATATCATTACTATTATAATTATTACTATTTTTATTTTTCTACTATTATTATTATCGTTGTCAATGAGAAACTTCTTACAACTGATCTTTATTAATATTAAGTTTAAAATTAACATTTTTTTTCTACGCCAAAAGTAAACTTCATAATCTCTTTTTCGGCTACCGAAATTAACTTATAATATGTACCTAATAACCTTTATATATTGTGTAATTTTAATGTTTTAATTTTGTAATGGAGGGGACGCATGATGCAAGAGTGTAGTAAAACAATTTAAGAGCTGTTACCCATAGGTACGTAAACAATTAAGTAATAATAATAAAAATAAAAAAAATATAGAATTTAAAGTTACTGTAATGTTCTGTAAATGTTATTCTCATGTGGTGTGTGATCGTTGAGCGCATAGTACCTATACGCTATAATATAACTGCTCTTAAATTGTTTATACTCGCAGCTAAAGGATTTAATTTATAGTGAACGGTGATGGTTTTGTGTAATACACGTCCGAATGCTCAAATATTATTTTGTATAATTCTTTTTAAGATGGAAAAATTATATTTAGTGATATTTATTAAGAGACATTTACGTGAGTATAAGCGTTTAAGATATTTTTCGATACATTTCTTTATTTTGTTAACTTTTTTTTGTTTTTGATTTGATTTTTTTTTTCAAAGTAGTTATTTTAGTTAAGCAGTTGGCATWGTTTGCTATAAATTAATATAATATATATAGGTATATATATATAATATTATACAAATAAATAAATATCATTGTTATTACTATATGCTTAGATACGTTCATCTATACAATTTAAAACATAACCATTTATAATACATATACATAATATATTATCACATATAATATAATGGTGTGTTAAATTATGTATTTCCCGTGCAGTCTATCATATAATAATCACGCATTCGATGCCCGAAATCTTCTATCACGCGAAAGCGACGCCAATACGGAAACGTTTTGTATAATATAATAACATAATATGGCGCAGGTATGCAAGATTTCGGTACACTCGGGTATACATAGGTAGAGCTTTTTTGGGGTATCACCTACCTGTAACCCCCGAAATCTTGTCGCACTCAACCGCAATATTATTTATTTATTTTTATAACATTTTAGTACCAATGATACTATTAATGTCTAATACAAAGCTGCAATAGTTAATCGCTGTCGTCGGTGTCAAGCTCAACTTTTCCTCTTCTTTGTAAATATATTATATCAAATTACCTCGATTATTTTATTATAGTATGTCTATCCCGCTCGGGCAGGTCCGACGAATCCGATGACCACAATAGTGTGACATTTGACTCGGGACAAAAGGTTCATGCGACCTCACTTTTACGTCGTAATATAATTAAGTTATTTCGCGATTATTAATTATTTTATTAATATTATCATCATCTAGTTAATTATACTTTTTGATAATATAATTATCATTATGACGCCGTGCAAAATAAAACGCATGAGTAGCAAATTTCGGGAGAGGATTGGCGGGATTGTGTTATTATCGTGCCGTTGTATTATTATATGTACCTATATAATATATATGTAATATCGTAGTTGATTTTTAATTAGATTATCCAGTTCAAAACCCGTCGACCACAACTGCAACTTTTCTAGCCTTTTCACGTGCTGACTTAGTGTACGTGAAGGTACCTATACCGTTTGCTGCCGTGCTCATATAGTTAAGTAAGGTCGATAAAATTTTGTTTTTATGTTACATAAAATCATTAAATTGTGTAACTGTTTACAAATTACCTATACCTACCTTTAATTTAATTTTTTTTAAACAGACAATCGGCTAATTACTACTGATTAGACGTGTTGTTCAATTAAAAATATTACCTGTCTACCTTTACTCCTATATAATGTATATGCCTATATATGCCATTAAATCAATGCTCGATTTAATAACAAAATTAAAGCCGAGCAAAAGATAAACTGTTCAACGTCTAATTACCTTTTTAATATATTATTTTACATAGATATAGAATTATATAGTAATTTATTATTTTATTATAATGTGTGCGATTGTGTGTTTTCGTGTTTGTTTATAAGTAATATCTGATAGTTATGCCACATTACTCGAACATAATGAAATACAATTTATAGTTAATTTAAAAAGTAACTCATAAATATGAAAAAAATTTAAATTGGCGTTACCTTTTAAAATATAGTTTTTTCAGAGAATGGCGCTTGGTTGTACGTTGTACTATACAGAGTGATTCACCAAACATATGCTCACACCTTGAGTTTTCTTTAATAATATATGTATTTAAATTTTGAATTTTTGAAATTTTAAATACTTGGGATTTTTTGTTCTACTTAAAGAGAGTATCTCACAGTGACACAAAATTCTAATCCTCCAAACTTTCCTCTTTTGTACTGTAAATTATTTAGTGGATAATTTTTATGAAACTTTTTGTACTTATTCAAAATTCAAACTAGGTGGTCTGAATTTTAAATTAAATAATATATACAAATCGAAAATTCCAAAATAATTATTCACTAAATAATGCACAGTAAGTAAAGTGAGGTGAGTAGTACAATACATTTTAAGATTTAAAAAAATAAAAATTTGAATATATTCATTATTAAATAGAAAAATAAAGGTGAGCATCATGTATAGTGGATCTCCTTGTATATTATTATGAGTTTATGATTAGGTATATTTGCTGGCGATATACATTCATTTTGTTCAATATAATATTTTTATTATTATAAGCCATCACTTATAGTCTATAGATATTTCAAGGATAATAATTATTGTTTCATAAGACATAATAAGATAGAACATATAGGACAGTTTCTTTTTTTTGTTTATTGACTTAATAAGTAGGTACCTCTTAATCGTGAGGTAAATGAGTTAAGCTATGTAATTTTTATTTTATTTTAACTTAGAACTTGACTTGTTGATATTCTATTCAACAGGCTATACTGCGTATTTACTATACTGATGTTCAAACTCGTGAAATATTACATTTGAAAAAATTAATACATAATTTTTACATATACATACATATAGTGTAGACATATGCGTATTATATATAGGTAGATATATAGCATTCTTGTGACGCCGGTAGGGCTAAGACGTTTCAATTCACGAAGACATTAAGGAAACTTCAGACCTTTGCTCGCATAAATATGATGTTATAGCAAAACAAATTATTATTATTATTATTAAACGATTTCTCGAGCGCGTCATAATAATATGATGTAAATGTGCGTTTACCCAAAATGCGTTAAAATTAATTTTTTTCTTGCTCATCGAATCGACCTTAGACCTTAGACAATAGTATTATCAAGTTATTGCATATTAATTTTTATCATTCATATTATAATATTAGCACCAGCCAATAAACGTCATTGATTTCATGTGTAAGTTCTGCGTTTATTATAATTTTATTTTTTTACTCGATTTATATTGTTGTAATCGTTCACGGTCACCACAGACTTTGAAACGATATAAAAATTCGTTTGAGTTTGTTATACATATTATAGGAAAATTAAAATTAATGCATTGATATACTTACACACACACACACCCATATTATTTATTTATATAATTTTCACAATAATTTATACTATTCCATCTATATGTTTCATTTTTTTCGCATACTACGCATTTTGCTTTTTTAATTTCCGGAGATGTTTCTCTTTTTTCCACATTATTTGAGTAATCGTTGTTTCAATTAGTTTTTGGTAAAACGAATTTTTTCATATATATATTTTTTTTTATCTGAATGTAAATAAACAAATAATATTCAAGTCTGTGGACGCACAAATTACCATTGTTTTGCCTACAATTCGGGTATATTCTGCGCATGCAAATGAAACGGATGACTCGAAAGAGTCATACCACCCATGTCCATGTGTATAGACTTAGTGAATATTGTGTCTTAAACGAGATAAAAAGCAAAGTGTAATAGTACTTACAACTATATAACGTGGTTTTAAGATATTCGTTATATACACGGACGAGAAATAAAAAACATGTAATATCACGTCACTGGCTCACAGAAGATTTTAACATAATGATATTATATTTTAAATTATAAATATTCCATGATGGCTGAGTGAATTAAATATGTATGCAAATCAGTAAAGCACTTACCTATATAGTCAATAGAAATTAATTATAAAAGTTTATTTCAAAGCCTATACTAAATCTTTGAGTACCTAATAATACTATCCATTATTTTGTGCTCCTGCAATGTTTACCGCAAGCTATGCTGCAAATGAGCCCCTTGCACGCATGGATTATGAGGATTTCCAATGTTGGCCCACATCTTTCACACAACTTTACACACATGTCATATACATTTTCTTATATTTTCTTATATTCAAAACTATATATTACTATATACTATAGCGAAGGAAAAATAATCAATAATGGAGTTCTAAAATATACAGTTTTATATCTAATATTATACGACATAATCCGTGTCATAGAACTAGGAAAAATAAAATAAAATATCACGAGGAGATGATAAGTAAAATCCTGATATTCAAGGGTAAAACTGGAGTATATAACTTGGTTATTTTAAATTCCTCAACGGTGGATAGGGTTCACAATAATTATATTGTGTAATTAAAAAAAAAAATGTATACTTTTCTTGAGTCAAACAAAAGTGTATTATTACTATTATTATTGGAATATATAAATATAAATGGTATATCATTATCTTGTAGCCAGGCGTCGGCCTATCTTCTCGTATACTATAATTAAAATAAAATAAGCTTCCCTATGCGACATCACTAATGTACATCAACCTCCTTCGAGAGCACACACGATGCAGTTGTAGTACCTACACTCGGTAACGTAGTCCCTGTCCGGGTGACACTGAGTGACGTAACGTGCTATAATAATAAATACAGCAGGACTCGACGGGGTCGGGCATAAGGGTAGAACACGATTGCGTACGTTTGGCCTTTTTGGCAACACTAATTCAAAGACCATAGTCGATGATTTCGATGGTAGTAGGTAGCCTATAGGTACTTAGTAATTTGATACTACACGTGCATCATCGCTGTCAAAMACAATTTATTATTTTATTTTATTAATGTAGATATTAAATTGCAGCAGTCGTAAGCACAACTCTATACGCAAAAAATACTAGATAAATATTTATAAGTGGTACGAGTGGCGATGATCGACAGTTTTATTTTATTACATAAAATATATTAAACACAAGTACCTGCATTATATATAATCGGAAATGTCGTATCCGGATGTGCATCAAAAAACTGCCTACGTTTTTATTTAATAATATTATAATATGTAATAATATTTTATGTACCTATTATAGCTGCATTCAGTGGCGTTCGCAGGGGGGGGAGGGGCTAACGATCTGACCCCTCCCCCCCATTGTCCGTATTATTGTTTTTTGTTCACATATTTACCTCGATTTAATATAGTTTCTTAAATCGTGTGTTTACCTATCTATTGCAAACAATGCAAACCATATTGTCCTAAACTGGCTAAACTCCTAAGGTTTATATATAATATTTTTATACATTCCATAATCAGTAGTCACGATTAAAGATGCTACAGTCCATGTATAGATCTATAATCTATGATAACAATTCAACTGATTTTAGCAACACTATATCCGTCTATCCAAGCATCGTTATTCCGATGCACTAGTGAATCTGTTAAACCTGTAACTACTGAGTAATTATTTATTTTCAAGTTCCCCCCTTTGACAAATCCTGCGTACGCCACTGGTTTCATCGAATTCGTGTCG